CACACACACATTTCCTACAATATACTATAAGAAAAATCATCATCAGAACACACACGCGTGTGTGTGTGTGTGTGTGTGTGTGTGTGTGTGTGTGTGTGTGTGAGACCTCAAGGGCAAGGATGAAGCTTTTCACTTTCTTCCAAGGACTAAACATCACATTAAAGGAGAGATCTATTATTTAAAAAAACTTCTACTAAATTGAAAATAGATATTTCAATTTCTCATTTCAACAATGCTAGTTTTGTTCTTTGAAGTGTCACACAATAAATCTAAACTCATTTTCTTTATGAGCACTTTAATTATGTTAAGAAATAGCATGCTTCTCTATGCAGAAGTCTCTTTTTCCCCATTATACATCATCAACACTTCCAACTTCTATTCAGCTTTCTTGTTTTAGAGACATCTCATTATTCAGATTTCTTTTTTTAAATCTTAATGTAAAAAGTTATCTGATCTCCAAAAAAATTTGAAGTTTTAAAAGATAAAATAAAATATATTTTGTATTTCATACATTTGTAATAAGTGTATGAAAATTTTTTACGAATGCTAGAATAATGTTTGCTTTTCAACACATGTGGCATTTATTTTGGGCATAACTAGTTTAAACACATTCACCAGCAATAAGAAAATGACAGCTTCAAATTCCAATCAAATAGGACAACTCTGTCACAGACAGCAAGAAAATGATGGTGATACAAAATTATCAGTGCAAAAAATTATTTTTCCTATGCAAGTAAGCATTTTGTAAAGTAGAGTGTGATATACATAGTATTTTCTTGTAAGGTACATTGACTGTAGAAATTAAGGGTATGTTCAAATTATTACATTTTAAAAATCTCTTTCATTTATGTCTGAAGTGTAGACAATTATAAAATGTGCTCAGCAGGATTATTGTGAACACAACTCAATGATTTTTGAAAAAAAAATAACAAATTGCTTTTGAGTAATTCAATCATTGTAATAATTGTTACATAACAATAGTATAACTAGAATTAATATTTAGGTAGAAAGTTTTCATATTGTGCAAGTTCACTAAATTATATTTTATGTAAGCTACAAAACAAGATTTCAACAATCTATGAAATTAAAATAATAATTTACAAATAATTCAAATGTTGTACATATATATGAAAATAAAGAACTATTTGTTGGTAACTAGGTATAACATCAGTGTGTGAGTGTTAGAATATAATACTTTCTGATTGCTTCTCTGACTCTTGTGCTTTTTGGAAGGACTTTTCTTCTGTTGGCTTATTTTGTCACATTTTGATGTGATAGTTGTTTGCTTTTTCTCAGTATATTTTATCTTGTAGTATTTAAAAAAAAATGAATGAATGGATAGATGGATGGATGATTGTAGCTGGAGAGTTTTCTCTCTGGGTCCTGCCAAACCCCAGCCATCTGACAGCCCACTTATAAAATAAACACACAAACGCTTATATTATTTAAACTGTTTGGCCTAATGGCTCAGGCTTTTAGCTATCTAGTTCTTACATCTTAAATTAATCCATTTCTATAAATCTATACCTTGCCACTTGGCTCGTGACTTACCAGCGTCTTCACATGCTGCTTGCCATGATGGTGGCTGGCAGTGTCTCCCTCACTCAGCCTTCCACTTCCCAGAATTCTCCTCTCTCCTTGTCCTGCCTACTTCCTGCCTGGCCACTGGCCAATCAGTGTTTTATTTATTGACCAATCAGAGCAATTTAACACACAGACCATCCCACAGCAGATGACGGTAAATCTAGCCACTAGAGTAAAGTTCAAAAAAAGGAACTGTCGTTTATACCTTCTGGGAGAGAAAAGTCAACTGTCCACAATGGAGTGAGACTGGGTAGATCAACCACTGCAGGACAGGCCTCATGTTCAAGAGTAGCTGACCAACAACAACAACAAAAAAAGACTCCACAGTGTTTTGGTGTGCTATTTGGATACAGTTTGGTATTTCTGTTTTTTTTGTTTTTGTGTTTGTTTTATTTTGCTTTGGTTTTTGTTGTTGTTGTTGTTGTTGTTCTGTTCTGTTTTGTTTTTGAGGTGTTGTTGTATTTTGTTTTCTAGATTTTGTTGTTTTATAGGATTTTTTATTTGTTTTTTTGAGAAAGAACTAAAAGTCTGGTAGCTAGAGAGGAGGAAAGGATGTGGACAAACTTGGGGGAGGGAAAGAATATGATCAAAATATATTTAAATTTTAAAAATGTTTTAAACTAAAAAAAGAAACAAACAAAACCAAAGAAACAAGCAAACAAACAAAAAAGATACAATA